CGCAGAAAAATCATTTTTGTTATCCTGTAAAAAGTGTGAAATTTGAAGAGTGTTAGAAGCAATGAACCTACTTTTTTTTCTTCTATGTTATGCCCTAAATAAAAATCATATAAACATATTGGCCTTGTTTTGATATTTAAAATCAAATGATTTAATATTTTATATATTTTTTTCAACCATAAAAATATCATATGTAGAAAATATATCAATAATTCAAAAAATAAATCAATTTTCAAAATATTAATTAATTTGAAAAGCTTGTACAGAAATATAAAATTAAGTCCATATTTAGATGAATGTTTTATTGGATGCCTTGCTGGTTTAAAAATATAATATACATGGAGTATCGTGCAAGAAATCTGTCTCTTTTTTTTTTTTTTTATTCAAAACCTCCGAGCCTCCCTTTCGCTAAAATTCGGTACTTCCTCTCCTAGTCTACAATACTTTCAGATTTCCCGCTTATAAAAGGGAGTACGAAACCAACACCATTATCTATATTTAATATGTATTTATCACATTAAGGATGTGCAAAACTCTCATATTTGATAGTTTTGCCACAAGGCTGGAAAAGCATTGTGGAATTTGAAGTTATTTCGGCCATTCCTTTCTTCTTGTTATGCCAAACAGTCATTATAACGTTTATAAAACATCTTTCCTATTAAATATCAAATGCGAAGTACATTTAATTACATTATATTTAAACATATCTAATCTGCTTCAAACATCTTAGAAGAAGTGTGCGATGAAAGCCCCAAACATAGGGCTAGGAGGTAACAAATTAACTGACTCATCTGACATCAAAAGTATATATTCTGATTGTTCTTCTATGTGTTTCCCACCAATCAGAATGAAGCTAAAATTCAAACAGTTAGTAAACAGGTGACTATTGACAAATGGCAGCATTAATTGAGCTATAAAATTAATTATAAATAGGAATATTCTGTAACTTGTATTTATATATTTACATCTGCTATTTTGAAATAATATAATTACTGCTACTTTTCAAATTCAAACATTCCCACTCACACTCAGCAGATTGATACTTTGTCAGTAAGTGGGTCAGCAAGTCTTCTAATTCTTCTAATTGATATTTGTGACAGATCCATCTGTGTAACTGGTATTGCTGGTTCGTCTAATTTGTCTCCATTAACGGAATTGCCTGTCTGTATGCCCCTGTTCATTATTATAGACTTATACCGAACAAAACTACCGAATGGACGGCCACCCAGAAGAGAAGTGTGTTGGTTAACCTCTTGGCCCCAATTAGAATGTTGTGGTTAACCACAGACACCTCTTCATTACAACCGAATGCAGGGTGGTCGTCGTTCGTATGCCGACCACGAGGCGGCGGCCATTTTAAAACACGCGAAAGACCAGCGGTGTTCGGTGCAGATCTTATGGAACTATAAACGGACACTTTTCTTACCGAACACCGCTGAAACTACCGACCGCCCTTCTCATTCGTCAAGGCATGCGAACACCGGTCCGTTCGGGAGGTTGGATAATACGAATGGACTTAACCCAGATAGCCATCCCATGGAGTCAATCGCATACCGGAAGACCTGTGAAAGACTTTGACTCCATGGCGATTGAACTGAGTGTATGGGATCTGAGCACTATTCGGTAGTAATATGCACGCAGATCCAGGCTATCTGGGGATACGTTACACGAATCCAATGTATTCGGTATTTGTACAGTTATATATTTTTATGCATTTTTAATGTTTCATGTAAAATGGTGATTTCTTCCCAATTATCTCCAGGATAGAGAGGAGGGATTTACTGTTATAAAGGGGAGTGTTTAAACCTGGGCCACTGTGATTGGCTAATGTATCATACTTGTCCCAGTCTTCCATGTGGTCCCCTAGGGGAGTGTCTACCAGGTGGGAGACCTGCATAAATACCGGGCAGGTAGCCTTCATTAAACAGATTCCTGTTTTACCCTCAAGACGGAGCTTGGTCCCGTGTTTGGGGGGATTGCTGCTTGGAAGGATTCCTGTTGCCTGTTTTAGCCGAAGAAGGGATTTGGCTGATTTGTGTGTTTGTGGATTTACCGCATTCCCTTGCACTCCATTCGGGAGTTTGGCGCTCTGCTGTATAGAGCCTGTGTCTCTGGAAAGGGGGAATATCGGCTAAACGGCAGTTTCATCCATTTAAGCTGTGAGTGTCTTAACACTATTTATGTTTGGTTTGATTTGCAGTGGAATAATTGTGTGTTTTTGCTGTTGTACCTTAGATAAATTGCATCATAATTTACAGATCAAAAGCACCAATATAATTGGGTTGCAGTTCACTAATCTGATACTTTGTATCTAGTTAAGCCCACACACAGGTGATTTAGGAATCATCTGCACTCCCATGACGGCCCTACATACCTGTTTCATTTTAATAAGGAAGCAGTCTATGTAATCTCTTGGAGAAGATGGGTCCAAGGTTTCTTGGTTTGTCTTCACACGTTCAGAAACAAATTGCAGTAAATTATTTAGGAGTTTGTCCACTTTCTGATGAGGTCCAGGTACGTGGTTCATGATTTCTGGAATCATATCATGCATCTACAATACAGTCAGTGTGAGACCATCTTGAACATTACTAGCTATATAAGAAAGGTCCTTCAAGGCAAAGTTCACAAGCTTCAAATTGGAAAAAAAAAGAGTAAGTGTATACACGTTTCTATGAGTGTACAAGTGTATATGCTTAAAACAGCTTATTTTTAGTTGCTCTTAGATATGTGAGTACATAGACCCATAAACTGAAAATACATTTTGTGTGGGCCTATTTATTGCAAGATCCTTTGGAGGAGAACAAAAAAGGGAATATTTTGGCAGAAGTTATGTTAGGAGAAACATAACAATTGTAATTAATGCCCACACCTAGATTCACACAATCTCTATTAGGTTATCCTATATGCCCTCTTTACCTGCCCCCACATGGAACTCATGTTTTTAAACGACTCATTAAACATATTGAGGAGCTTCAGAAATTTCAGATCTTCATATTCAAACCGATTCCCAAAGACCACCGAGCAGATGACATTTGCAATGGCCTGAACAAAGATATTGGTGGGATTGATCGGGGAACCTGTAGCAGAAAGAAAAGAGTCATTGGCCATTGGAGTAACTAACTAACTAACTAACTAACCCTATTAAGGGTTAATAATCATGTAGGGGTGTACATAAAAAATACCCCTCTCTGTCTCATTAGAGTTATCTTTGCCAGAAGCTCAAGGAAGCAGGCTGAAGGGTCAGTGTAGGACCAACCTGAGAGGTTTGCCTTGACGTGGCAGGCGGGCATTCCCTCCAATGGCCATTGGAGTAACTAAATAATCATCACAAAAAGGTATAAGAATAACATTTATACCTTTAACCAATCACAAAAATCAACTACCTACTGAGCTCACACAAATCAAATGTTCTCACACAAATATTTTTGGATTTCCGAAGAGAAATTGCTGCTATGTTTAAATATCAACATTATTCTTACTTTTCTTAGATCTGAGTTCTTCCACCAAAAATTGTGCCTCTTCCTGTATTCGTTCTTCAATACTCCTCTTTCCCATTCCAAAGTTTCTCAGGGTCATCAATGTGAACCGGCGTAGCTGTTTCCAGCGTTCTCCATTACTGAGAACAACACCTATTATGAAAGGGACATTTTGGAAGCAAACACTGATATTTCACCTTTTACGGCCTCTTTGTCAAATTTTTGGATATGTTTTCCAAATGATTGGTTATTTTTTGGATAAACTTTTAAAAGGAATAATGAAAAAAATATCTTAATAATAATAATAATAATAAATCAAGGCTTAAGTATGTTACAGAGTGCATGCACAGGTACACAATTCTATATTTAAACACCTACAATAAACAGTAAGCAACAACAACTTGCAGCTGTTTTAATTACACACTGCGTGTTGCACATATTGTCAAGGACTTTACCCCCTTAAGGACCAAACTTCTGAAATAAAAGGGAATCATGACATGTCACACATGTCATGTTTCCTTAAGGAGTTAAACTCATTATTGTGGAGCTCTATTTGTGAAGGAGTTTGACCTGTTGCCAAAGGAGGTGTTACAGGAGGGGTGAAGAGCTGCAGTGAGAGTGCTGATTGGGTAGTGTGGGTTATAGGAGGTGTGGGGAGCTGCAGTGAGTGTGCTGCTCAGGTAGTGTGGGTTACAGGAGGTGTGGGGAGCTGCAGTGAGTGTGCTGCTCAGGTAGTGTGGGTCAAAGGAGGTGTGGGGAGCTGCAGTGAGCGTGCTGCTCAGGTAGTGTAGGTCAAAGGAGGTGTGGGGAGCTGCAGTGAGTGTGCTGCTCAGGTAGTGTGGGTCAAAGGAGGTGTGGGGAGCTGCAGTGAGTGTGCTGCTCAGGTAGTGTGGGTCAGAGGAGGTGTGGGGAGCTGCAGTGAGTGTGCTGCTCAGGTAGTGTGTGTTACAGGAGGTGTGAAGAGCTGCAGTGAGTGTGCTGCTTGGCTAGTGTGGGTTATAGGAGGTGTGGGGAGCTGCAGTGAGCATGCTGCTCAGGTAGTGTAGGTCATAGGAGGTGTGGGGAGCTACAGTGAGCATGCTGCTCAGGTAGTGTGGGCTATAGGAGGTGTGGGGAGCTTCAGTGAGTGTGCTGCTCAGGTCGTGTGGGTTATAGGAGGTGTGGGGAGCTGCAGTGAGCTTGTTGTTCAGGTAGTTTGTGTATAGGACAGCCTTCCCCAAACTCCGGCCCTCCAGATGTTGCTGAACTACAACTCACATGATTCTCAGCTTATCTATTTCATTCATAGAATCATGGGAGTTGTAGTTCTGTAACATCTGGAGAATCGGAGTTTGAGAAAGCCTGGAATAGGAGTTGTGGAGCGCTGCAGTGAGTGTGCTGCTCAGGTAGTGTGTGTTATAGGTGGTGTGGGGAGCTTCAGTGAGTGTGCTGCTCAGGTAGTGTGCGCTATAGGAAGTGTGGAGAGCTGCAGTGAGCTTGTTGCTCAGGTAGTGTGTGCATAGGACAGCCTTCCCCAAACTCCAGCCCTCCAGATGTTGCTGAACTACAACATGATTCTCAGCTTATCTATTTAATTCATAGAATCATGGTGTAGTTCTACAACATCAGGAGGATCGGAGTTTGGGAAAGCATGGAATAGGAGGTGTGGGAGGCTGCAGTGAGTGTGCTGCTCAGGTAGTGTGTATTATAAGACGTGTGGGGAGCTGCAGTGAGTGTGCTGCTTAAATTGTGTGGGTTATAGGAGGTGTTGGGAGCTTCAATGGCAATGCTGCTCAGGTAGTGTGTGTTATAAGAGGTGTGGGGAGCTGCAGTGAGCATGTTGCTCAGGTAGTGTGTGTTATAGGAGGTGTGGGGAGCTGCAGTGAACGTGCTGCTTGGGTAGTGTGAGTTAATGGAGGTGTGGGGAGCTTCAGTGAGTGTGCTGCTCAGGTAGTGTGGATTATAGGAGGTGTGGGGAGCTGCAGTGAGTGTGCTGCTCAGGTAGTTTGAGTTATAGGAGGTGTGGGGAGCTGCAGTGAGAGTGCTGCTAAGGTAGTGTTGGTTATAGGAGGTGTAGGGAGCTTAAGTGAGTGTGCTGCTTAGGTAGTGTGGTTTATAGGAGGTGTGGGGAGATGCAGTGAGAGTGCTGTTCAGGTAGTGTTTGTTATAGGAGGTGTGGGGAGCTGCAGTGAGTGTGCTGCTCAGGTAGTGTGAGTTCTAGGAGGTGGTGGGAGCTGCAGTGAATGTTCTGCTCAGGTAGTGTGTGTTATAGGAGGTGTAGGGAGCTGCAGTGAGTGTGCAGCTCAGGTAGTTGAGTTATAGGAACTGTGGGGAGCTACAATGAGTCTGCTGCTCAGGTAGTGTGTGTTATATGAGGTGTGGGGAGCTGCAGTGAGTGTGCTGCTCAGGTAGTGTGGGTTATAGGAGGTGTGGGGAGCTGCAGTGAGCGTGCTGCTCAGGTAGTGTTATAGGAGGTGTGGGGAGCTGCAGTGAGTGTGCTGCTTAGATTGTGTGGGTTATAGGAGGTGTGGGGAGCTTCGATGAGTGTACTGCTCAGATAGTGTGTGTTATAGGAGGTGTTGGGAGCTGCACTGAGCGTGCTGCTCAGGTCGTGTTGGTTATAGGAGGTGTGGGGAGCTTCAGTGAATGTACTGCTCAGTTAGTGTGTGTTATAAGAGGTGTGGGGAGCTGCAGCGTGTGTGCTGCTCAGGTAGTGTGGGTTATAGGAGGTGTGGGGAGCTGCAGTGTGTGTGCTGCTCAGGTAGTGTGGCTTATAGGAGGTGTGTGGAGCTTCAGTGAGTGTGCTGCTCAGGTAGTGTGAGTTTTAGGAGGTGTAGGGAACTGCAGTGAATGTTCTGCTCAGGTAGTGTGTGTTATAAGAGGTGTGAGAAGCTGCAGTGAGTGTGTTGCTCAGGTAGTTTGTTGTATAGGAGGTGTGGGGAGCTACAGTGAGTGTGCTGCTCAGGTATTGTGTGTTATAGGAGGTGTGGGGAGCTTCAATGAGAATGCTGTTCAGGAGGTGTGGGAGCTGTAGACTGTATGTTGCTCAGATAGTGTTAGTGGCTCTTGACTCCCAAATACATGTATTTACAGGCTTATGGTTTTTAATAGGATGTGAATTCTCATTAGGTCAGGCGTTGAAACCATGATTTTAAGTGGGATGTTTAAAACCTGCCCCCCTCCCTCCCTGGCAGAGTTTATACCATCTAAAAGCACCAGCTGCCATCAATATCCAAGGTCACTTGCAATTTAAAGTTGGACTGAGAATGGTCCACAGATTTTTTCACCCCCTGAAACAGCAACAAAGTGCATAATTGCAAAAACAGAATATTCAAGGATATCATTTTTCAATGTAGGGAATAGGCGTGAGTACGGGGTGTGCCGGATGTGCCTGGGCCACCCCAATCCCCGCGGCACGCGCTATGTGC